AGAAAGAAAGAAAGAAAAGAAAGAAAGAAGAGAAGAGAGAGAGAGAGAGAGAGAGAGAAGAGAAGAGAGAGAGAGAGAGAGATTGATTATCAGTCCTCCACAAGATCTCACATTTTGTCTGGTCCTCTTCAGGTGGGAGCTGCTCGGACTGGTCAGGTGGCGGCGGCTGGTGGTACAACTACTGCTACTACAGCAACCCCACAGGCATCTACCCTCCAGCTGATCTTCCCGCAGGAGCTGAGGTCGATCACCTGCTCGAGTGGCGTAAATGGCAGGGTTATTACACCTACCTGTCTTCCCTCACCATGAAAATCAGACCCAATTATCTGCCCTCTATTCAACGTTCCTCTTTTTAATCCCACGGAATAGAAAAAGGAGGCTCTTAAAATGGGGTTCTAAATCTGCATGGATTTTGCAAGTAGTTGTCGAATGTAGTGATACAATGGTATTTCCACCCCTAAAGGTAGAGTTGGATTCACTTTATGTAGGATTTGAGACAAGCTAATATCTGGGATAGACTTATTTTCATCACATAGCCCTATACAAGTATGTGCATTTTTGTACATTTAAGCTGATGTTGAAATATGACCAGGACCCTTTAGTCTTCCATCTCAAATCAAAATCACACACGTATACTACGATTATCTTGTACACTACACTGTAACTGGGGTTCTTTAGTATTCCATCTCGAATACTCACTCTTATCTAATATACATATCAATTTGCAATGTTACACATACTCATGAATATGAAAATGAGGATATACAGATGGGTGAAGATGTGCCTACTCTGTATGTAGGGGAGGGAAAGGTATGTACCTGTACATGTTGTTATACCCATGTGCATGCACATAGGTATAACCTCTCTCTCACACACATGCACACACACACACACACACCACACACACACACTCACTCACTCACTCACTCACACACTCATTAGGAAAATGTAAACTTAAATTAAGATGGAACCAAGTGTGAAATTGTCTATTGCAATGTACTTGACATCAAATATTTCACTGGGTATCAAAGGAATGTGGGAACTATATAGCCCTGTCATATTTTCTCTCAAAGTCCTCCACTCCAAAACTGTAATTTTCCATTTGATTTTAGTAGTCAACTCAATGTTACATAAACAGTCGCTCTCTTTCTAGCTGTGTGACAATAATTAGATTAAATATTTCTGTTATTATATTAATTCTTTCATAAAACATTACAGAATCTTACAGGCTGAACACTTAATCATTCCAATATGTTCCTTCATATGGTGTAGATTATAAGAAAAAATATAAAATCATTTCTTCATTGCAGAATTTCTTTAAATATAAAACACAAAAACCAACTGTATTACTGGAACAAAGACAGTTCAACCACACCTACTTTTAAAACAGATATAAAATATGTATAATAAAAAGGTGAAGGAATAAAAAAGCCTTTTCTTTTAAACATGTTTCAGTCTCTCTCTCCAAGCTTTATTTCATTTTTGGTGAACAAGGTGAGTATCGTACAATAATTTAAGCAGCACACATATCAGACATAATCTAACAGAAGCAGTGTGATACTTTTCCCAAAGTGATAAACAGTAATATCAAATAACGTGAATTCCCTAACATCCAAAAATATGTAACTTGAATTCTCTAACATCCAAAAAGTTAAATAATAACAAAATGGGGAGAAAAAATCTTATGCACACACACACACACACAAACACTAAAGGCTTGTGACTGACTGTGATTTTAAGAAAATTACTACTTTTAAGGCAAGATCATTATGCTGCAAAGTAGTTCCCAAAATTATGTAATAAATAAAATGCTACAATATCCGATCAGGACAAGTTCGGGTTTTAAGGATGTGCTGCAGAGTCTGTGGAAGCTGGCACCAATGGGAACGTAGCTGCAAGTCTAATCCACATACAGCTTCTATTGTTAATCTGAAATATATTTATCTTTATTAGATTTCTTGATTTTAGCAAAAAAAATTACCAACTCATTTTTCCACATACCACAAACATATTCCAAAGAAAAGTTTTACAACATTAAGAAACTTGAAACCTGGAAATCCAACACTACTAGGCATTTAAGATAAGAAGACCATATAATATGCTTCATAATCAGTACCTTGTGTTAATATGTAGTATTTATGGTTCTAGTCAATTAGTTTGCTGCTATTTTCATGACCTAACTAAACAAAGATTATGCTATGCTAACATAAAAAAGACACAAGGAATAACATAAAGGGAGTAAATATTTTTACACATACCTCTGTAGACTTGGGGGACTGAACCTCAGTACAACCATTTCTTCAGCATGATCCTGATGAAAATATGAATAAATGTGAATATTTCCGAAAACACTTTAATATGATAAAATCATAATAAAAAGGCCAATCACTGATAATATGATAAAATCATAATCAAAAGGCCAATCACTGATCTCTATGGGTTAACTTACTCATAATCATGAAGGCATCATAAAATGAGAAAAGGATAAATATCTAACACAGCAGTTCCCAATGTTTTCTATTCTATGGCTTGACCAATAAATATTAATCTCCATGGCCTCGTTGAGTGTCAGTCTTTTCAGATTCAGTTATTACTAGATATGAAAAGTGTAATGGTGCCAACAGTTATAGAAAAAGAATGCTAAATGGAAAGATTCAATATATTAATGTGTGCGAGAAACAGTAGCACGTAGAGGGGGATGAAAGGGCAATGGCCCCCGGTATCCAAATTGGGGGGCATCTAATCACAGTGGAAAATAGGAGTGATTTTGAAATTTAAATTTAAATCAAATAAAGTGTTTATTTCATGTTTCATCTGTGTTTACAACTTTAAATATCTCCCTTTCTCAAAATATTTCTCAGTGCTAGACCATATACTTGAGTCTTTGGGTTCTACACAATTAAGGAATTGGCCCTGGGTATCATTAGACCGCTGCATGCCACTGGAGAGAACACCATCTGTAGGAACTGTACATCAGGCAGAATACAGTTTAATTAAAAGCCATTGCCCCCAGAAAGTATCTCATGCCATGGACTCCAGGTTGGGAACCTTTGATCTAACAAATAAGTACTGAATCACATGATCAGCTGATGTATTTACTGTGAATTTTAAAAGGGAAACTTTGAAGTTATTGTCTTTACTGGACCCATCAATTGCAGATTCATGTACTGTCCACTTTAGTTTTTTTTGTGAATTCTGTTCCTCACAGATGGCTCTACAAGTGCTCAGCCACTAAGGAGTCAATTTCTTCAACTTTTTTATGCTACTGCTATTATCACTATCAAAATCATGGTTAATATCTTATCAAAATACTTATAACAATAAAAAATACAAAAAAATATATCTGAAAATCAAGGAAAGGCAAAAAGTTGACTTTCTGGTCACTAACCACTTGTGGAGCCTCTATGTGTAAATACAATCAATCACTGTAGAAAGAACATGTGTGTCATACCATCTGTCACCAGTGAGTTAAATATAAAACACTTCAATAACAGAAAATCCAGGTAGAAATTAGTAATTCTTGTGACACATGAAGGAATGAAACTCATCTTCTCCTTCCATGGCCCCTAAAATTTAGATCATACACAAATATAGATCATAAAAGTAATCTTTATTTGCATAAATAATTTGCAATTAGGCATATATCTATTTCCTGAAAAACACAACCACACTAACACTAACATGAATAAAAATCAAAACTAAAGATATTTACAATGAGCAAAGCCATGGTGATGTAGAAGGGCTGTGTAAGTCCCGAGTGAATGTACACTTCCCCATCTGGTATGACTGCAGTAGTATGCCAGCATCTAGGTTCACCATGGTCATAAGCTAGGGGTACTTCGATCCACTCAGTATCTGTGAAACCTAGCAAGTCCCTTCCCAACTTCATCATCCAGCAGTCATCTGTGAGCAGGGTTATTCTTTTACTCTTCTCCTATCCGTCTTTACTAATGTACTCACTGCCTGGCAATTGAGTCTGGTCAGAAATGTCTTCCACTGTCTTTTCTAAGCTCATTCAACTTGCTTTCCACTGCATTGTCATGGTAGCCTAACTTAGCAAAACAGTCTACACGAGTACGTCAGCAAGTCCGCATTCCTTACTCATATTTCTTAACCTTGCTGTCAACATTTAAGGTAAAAGTTAAAACTATTTCCTTTGAAATGGATACTTTGCATTAGATCACATCAAGCATAAAACATCATGTTATTAGTATTTGTTGTTACAACTGCCTCATATAACAGTAACTAATGTGCATTTCATATTAAATGGGAAAAAGAAAAGGACAAAACAAAGGATATTTACTGTTAACAAATCCCTGGTGATGTAGAATGGCTGGGTTAAGCCTGAGTGAATGTACAGCTCCCCTTCTGGTATCACAGCAGCCTCATGCCAACACCGAGGCTGACTGTGTTCATAAGGAATAGGTACTTCTTGCCAGTGGGCATATTTCAGACCTAGCTGGGTTCCTTCCACCTCCACCATCCAACAGTCACCTGTAAGCACCCTTTACTCGCTGACAATCCTATTTTAAAATCTGCATTCACTGCCTTGCACACATATCTAGGCATATCTGGTTTGAAACTACTAGCTATATTTTTTAGTAGCTAATCATTACGTGTGTAAGTTAATATATGTTAATATAGTGAGTTAACATTATTATTATAAAAACTAGGTATCAATCTGCATTTTGTATATTTTCTTATACAAAAGTCTACTCTCATATCAGTATGAATATATCATGCATTTCAAGCTTAAAGTAGGTCCAAAATTTAGCAAAGGAACATGCCATGCTATTTCTGTAACTAGTAAGCAGACATGCAAGGAGTTCATGAAAACACCAACCTTGGGCTGAGAGGGATCCAGTAGATTGTTCTTTATGCCACCATATACTGTAAGTTCTCCAGGGTAAGCAACAGCTGCGGCATGCCAGAGAACAGGGCCAACATTGTGCTGGGCTGACTGCTGCCACGACCCATTTGAGACATCTAATATCCATACATCTTCTGTACAAGGGATTGCACCAATCTTACAATGCCATTTAAAAGGTCGAAACATCTAGTCCTCATATGCATAAGCTGTCTGAACACTCAAGTGTAGGAAATTGAAGGTTATAACATCAGACCAAAACTGTTGATGATATAAAATGAGCATCATGCACATGATATTAGTATTATTAGTCACACATCAATCCTTTGCAAAATAGATGAAAAAGAGGAAAGCAAGCTACTTCAAACACCTTTAATTTCTGAAATTTAACATTACAAGGCAGTGATATTCCTTAACTTAAGAAAAAAAAAGTATATATATAGAATCACGGAAATGACAAATGTTAAAATGTAAACAGACAACATAGCACTAATGGACCTATCTTTGGAAAGAGTCATTGATAATTTTTTTGATAATTCTTCCAAAATGTCAAAAATCACCTTAAACATAGGGAAGACACCTAGTTAGTTTTTCATAATACATATCTATGTCAGATGTAAACATATATTGAAAGAGAGAAAGAATCAGAAAGGGAGAAAAATAATAATCTCATGATATTTAATGATATTTTCAAACTACAATGATTAAAGTTACAACTGCTATCTCAACTTTTCTGGCCACCCCCAAGATAGCACAGTTTTTGTTTTTTTTTTTTTTTTTGTTTACAAATAAAAATGCAGTTTTACAGAACTAGTGACTGAAGGGATACAGGGTTATAATTTGTTATATAATCCTGTATATGTATGCATATCCAACTTAGACAGAATCCTGCATACAATTCATTACAGTTTTAAAAAGAAAGCGCTACTAAGAACAGGGCAATTAAAAAAAAAAGAAAGCGCTACAAAGAACAGGGGAGAGAAAGAAAGAAAGCAAGAAAGGTGTCAAGGAGAGAAGAAGGAGAGGGAGATGGAAGGTATAGGAGTGGCGTTCAAGTAGAGGAAAAGAGAATGGAAGATGAAGTGCATGAATGATAAATCCATATCTTCAACACTCATTCTAAATTCTATAGTCATGCTTACAATATCAAACAATCACTCCATATAATTAATAATCACCTAATCTAAGAAACAGAGAGAAATAGAGAGAGTGAGAGGGAGGGAGGGAGGGAGGGGAGGAGAGGAGGAGGAGGAGGGAGGGAGAGGGGAAGGGAGGGACAGAGGAGAGAGAGAGGAGAGAGATAGAGAGAGAGACGAGAGAGAGAGAGAGAGAGAGGAGAGAGAGAGAGAGAGAGAGAGAGAGAGAGAGAGAGAGAGAGAGAGGAGAGAGAGGGGAGAGAGAGAAGAGAGAGAGAGAGAGAGAGAGAGAGAGAGAGAGAGACGAGAGAGAGAGAGAGAGAGAGAGAGAGAGAGAGAGAGAGAGAGAGGAGAGGGAGGGAGGGAGGAGGGATGGGGGGGGGGAGGGGAGGGAGGAGGAGAGGAGTAGAGAGAGAGAGATGAGGTAGAGAGAGAGAGAGAGAGAGGAGTGAGAGAGAGAGAGAGGAGAGATGAGAGAGAGAGGGAGAATTGTAGGAGATGAGAGAGGAAGACGAGGAGGGAGAGAGAGTGGAAGAGGGGAAGAAAGAGACTCGAGAGAGATTGTAGGAGGGAGTAAGAATGAGAAGGGCAAGGGGAGTGAGGGAGGGAGAAGGGTATAGAGGAGAGAGTAGAGATAAGAGGCAGTAGCAGATGTTAAGAAATAAGGGGATAATAAAGTGAAGATGAGAGGAAAGGAGGATGAAGAGAGAGAGAGTTATGGAGAGGAGAGGGGGTAGCGAGTGGTAGCCGTTAGCTGTTCGAGAGCAGATTTCAGAAGCCATTGGGGATCCATACTTTGATATAACATATTACACGGGTTTTTTTTTTCTCTTATGTTCTTCTTTTTTTTTCGGGTCTTTCTTCTTTTTCTTTTTTTTCTTTTTGTTTCTTCTTCTCTTCTTCTTTTTTTTTTTTCTTTTCTTTTGGGCCAGTGCGCGCTAAGAGAGTTCTGCCTCGTGTCTGTCGAAGAAGTTCAATAGGAAGAATGTAAGAATTGTTTGTGTTGGTGTAGGATGTTGGTCGTGATAGTGGGTGGGAGGGGAGAGATGGAGAGGAGTGAGAGAGAGAGGTGGAGAGATGAGAGGCAGATGAGATGAGAGATGAGAGATAGAGAGAGAGAGAGAAAGAGAGAGAGAGAGAGAGGAATGTAGGAGACGATGACGAGAGAGAGGAGAGATGAGGAGAGAGAGAGGGGGTCCGGTCCTCATTCCTTCGGAGGGGAGGAAATAACGAAGCAGTAGAGCAGGAGAGACAGGAGAGGAGAGAGAGACTGAGATGAGAGATAGAGAGATGGGAGGATGAGAGATGGAAGGGCGGAGATAATGTAGAAGGGAAGAGAAATTAGGAGGGCCTAGAGGAGGATAGGTGCCGTGGGAGGTGATGAGAGGGGAGAGAGAGAGCGCGTAGAGAGGGAAGGGATTGAGAGAGGACGAGAGAAGAGGGAGAGAGAGGGAGAAGGGAGAGAGAGGGAGAGGCGACGAGGGAGAGGTGATAGGGGGAGGAGGGGAGAGAAGAGGGAGACGGAAGAGAGGGAGAGGAAGAAGAGGGAGAGGGAGGGAGAGAGAGAGGAGAGAGAAGGGATGGGAAGGGAGTAGGAGAGGGAGAGGGGGGAGAGGTTAAAATCGTATTTTAAAGAGAGGAGAGAGGAGGAGGAGAGAGGAGAGAGGAGAGTAGAGGATGAGAGAGAGAGGAGAGGAAGCGGAGAGCGAGGGAGAGAGGAGAGAGAGAGAGAGAGAGAGAGCGGGAGAGAGAGGAGGGGAGAGGGGAGAGTGGAAGGAGGAGAGAGAGTGGTGAGGATGGGAGAGGGAGAGGAGGGAGATGGAGAGGGAGAAGGGGAGAGGAAAGGGAAAGGGAGGAGGAGAGGGAAAGAGAGGAAGAGGATTAGAGAGGTGGAGAGAGGGAGAGAGAGATGATGAGAGAGAGAGAGAGAGAGACGAGAGATGATGAGAGAGAGGTAGCGAGAAGAGAGGGAGAGAGAGATTGGGAGAGGAGAGGGAGAGAGAGAGAGGAGGGAAGGGAGAGGCGAGGGAGAGGAGAGGGAGAGGAAGGAGAGGGGAGAGGGAAAGGGAAAGGGAGAGGGAGAAGGGGAGAAGGGAAAGAGCGAGAGGGAGAAGGAGAGAGGGGAGAGAGATAAAGAGAGGAAGAGAGAAGAGAGAGAAGAGAGTAGAGAGAGAGAGAAGAGAGGAGAGGAGGAGGAGAGAGGAGGAGAGACGAGACAGGAGGAGACAGCAGAGAGACAGAGAGAACACAGAGAGGAGCGAGAACAAGAAGGGAGAGAGTGGGGAGATAGGGAGAGGGGGGGGGGGAAGAGTGTGATAGTGGACAGACAGTATCAAGTGAGAGAGAAGAGGAAGGGGAAAAAAAGAGAGGAGAGAAGAGAAGAGAGAGGAGAGAAAAGAGAGAAAAAAGCAGCAAGGAAACAGGGAAGTTGGTGAGGGACAGAGAAAAGAAAAAGAGAAAAGAGAGAAAGAAAAAAAGTGTACGAGATCGCAGGCAAGTGACATTGCATTTCATTGTTTAACTCAACTAATTATACTCTACTCGCGCAATGGTATCTACTCTTGTACAATATAATACTTATCAAACCTGCTGGGGTTGTGTTAAAGCCTCCGCTACATGACTGCCTTATTTTCAGATTATGAAGTTGGAACGGGGCCAGAGACCCCTTCAGGTACGTATTGCATCTTCCTCATTTGTTAAACTATGGGACAGATAGAAATTGTTAAGGTTTATGTGGATAAACATTCAACTAGAATATAAACCTATAAATCTCAATTACATTAATAGCTTTAAAAAAAATTTATTCATCAAGCTTTACAATTTCATATAATGTGAAACTACATATATCTTCTATTTCAAGTTCATTATATCATCATTATCATTTCATCAGTATGCAGTGCGTAATACAGTGAGAAGGTCAACAATAATCTATAAGAGGAAGTTAAAATAAAAAAAAGAGAAAAAAATAGCACAACAATAAAAAATCACATAATAAAACTCTTATTCCCCATGACTCCCTTTATATGAACCATCAAAATGACAAGCGTAATACCATGCATAAAAGAAATGAAATGGCATAACAGCACTTAATTCCCACTCCATGCATTGCCTGAGGAGGTCTACAGCAAATGCAGTCATATCATCCTAACTTCCTATAACGGCTACCCGAATATAATAGAACTTATCTCTCACAACTCTTGGGTTAGACACGGAATAAGTGGGGTGCGCCTGACTACCAAGGGCTAAATCCCACCCAAGAAGCAGGCACAACTCTGCAGACGTGGGCGGGAGATTAAAGTCTATGATATTCGGGGGCCGTGTATAGGGAAAGTTAGGATGAATGACCTGCATTCTAGGCCTTCTCAGTCGATTGCGGAGTGGAAATAAGGTGCTAGATTGGATTCATTGGTTCTTATGGCATGAGTATTACGCTTGTCATTTGATGGTTATATAAGGGAGTAATGGGGAATAAGATTTTATATATTGATTTTTATTGTTTGTGCCTATTTTTTCTCTTTTTTTTATTTTAAAGCTCCTCTATAGGAATTATTGTTGACCTCTCACTCCTATTACGACACTGCATAACTGTAAATGATATGATGATGTAATGAAGCTTGATAGAAAGAATAATGTTCACATATTATGAATTTGTAAAGCGATATAAATTTTTTTTAAGCTAATGTAATTGGTTTAATGGTTTAATATTCTAGTTAATGTTATCACATAAACTTAAACATTTATCTGTCCATGAAAGTTTAACAATGAGGAAGTGCAAACGTCCTGAAGGGAGGTCTTGCACACGTTCAATTCATATCTGAAAATAAGGGCAGTCATGTAGCGGAGGCTTTAACACAACCCAGCAGGTTTTGAGTAAGTTATTGATATTGTACAAGAGTAGATATCATTGGAGTAGAGGTTTAATTAGTTGGTTATAAAAATGGAAATGATGGTGAATGAGCAATCTAAGTACTTTTTTTTCTTTTTTCTTTTTCTTGTT